CCCCAAAACCCCAAAACCCCATCTTACTTTTATATTGCAAATAAAGTATTTAGAATCATAAATTATAATTATTCAAAAGAATCAAAGCTCTATTTTTCTATCAAAAAATCCAAAAGTTCTAATAAAACTGAAATTTTATTTTAATTTAATGAGTATTGAATGAAAACGCCTTATTATTCTTTGTAATTTGAAATATCGGGAAAAATAATTTTTTTTATCTTTAAAAATAGTTGATTTTTTCTCATACTTCATACTAAGTATTCTAACAATGAAAATCATTAACATAATTTTGATTATCCAAATAAAAAAGCTGCACCAATTCTATTTGTAACATTTATTGCCTTCTTTCTCATCTTTTATTAAATTCTAATGAATATCTTAATGGTTAGAATAGTAAATAATTTTTTATCTATATTTTTATTAATCCTTTGCATTCTCTATTTTTTAATCATCGTCTTCTAATTTATCTTTTTCTTCATTATTATCCTATTTAATTTTGCTTGGCTAGTTTTTCTTACACTTAATTATCTAATAATTTTAAGATTGTATTAGATCATCATAATTTGTCTTAATATTCGATGTAATTTCTCCATAATTTATCAATGTTGAATACTCACCTAATGAATTAAGTCTTAATTTCTCAAGTCTATTGATTTCAATAACAATGCTCTTAGCAACAAAACAACGATATTAGTTTCAATTAATATTTTCTTTAAATTTCAAAATCTATCCTAGCTGATCTAAGTTTGGCTATTGATAAATATTGAGACAATACTCATACCAGGAAATACTTTGTAGTTCAAAAGCCATTAGTAAACTGTAAAGACAAGATATTATATCATCACCTTGAAGATGGGGCAACTTTCTTTAAACATGAACAGAACTTGTTAACGGTGTGCCAATTTAATAATATTGAAACTCTATCTGGTTGTTCGAGATTACCAATTCACTTACCTTTTTTGCTGTTCCAAAGTCTATCAAGTAGAGCTATTTATCTTTCCCCATAAAATTGTCTGGCTTGATATCTCTATGAATAAAAAGTGCTTTCTAATGAAATTATTGCAGTAACTTAATTGTCTACGTCACATACTAATATTTTAGGTCATCACTTTTCGAAAACATAGTCATATATAGAGAATCAAAAGTTTATGGGTAGAAGTCGAGGACTAGATAAGAGATATATGATTTTCCTTGATTTTTCTCATTAGATTATGAATATTCAAACAGATTAAGTCTTGATATATTGAGTTCTTTTCCATTAGAATTAATCCACATCTATCTCAAGTTTACTTTCTCTTACAATAAACTCATTGTCTAATTATTTTAGTGCTCAAACTTTATTGCATATTACTTTCTATCTTTTTCATACAACCAGACCTCTCCATAGGTACCACATCCCAATTTCCTAATTTTATTATAGCCACTTAAACATTCAGGAGGATTCATTTAATTATTTTCTATGCTCGATTATGACATTTTACTTTTGACCAATTATTTTAACTTTAATTATATTTTTATTTCTTTAGTTTAAATTTAGCCATAATTATATCTTTGAGGTTTTGGGGTTTTGGGGTTTTGGGG